ATACGGATTTTTGGAAACTAGAATGCTAAATATCCACAAAGATTGAAATTGTTATTTGCAGGTTTCTTCCTCGTAACAGTACAATTTGCATAACATGTACGTATATAAATGCTTCGGTATATATGTATATATAGTAATTACCAATATTAATTTACACACGTACAAGACATTTTCATTCATCATTAGTCTACAGGTTTACAAAACATATATCTGCAACAATATAATCAACCTTTTCTATTGATATTGCAACAATAAAATGTTTTTGTAGAAATAGTAAATTCTAATCATATTGTGATGTTAAAGAAATATTTTTGCCAGATCAAGTGCTTGGGTTAAGTTGTCATAAAAAGATATGCTATGAGACAATTAAGGAGCAAATAGATCTGTAATATAAAAAGTCCTACTCATTATGGTTATAATATGATACAAATTAAAATGTTGCACAAACACATTTCATTTTAGTGTACAAATAAATCTGAACATTGTTCCTACAATATCTACTTGTTCTTTTCAGTCAAGTGTTTTCAATTAAATCTACTTGTACCACATTTTTTGGAAGTTCGATATCAATTTAACTAAATAGAATTTTGAAATGTATAAATCTACTACTTCATTGTTTTCTTTTTGATCATACATTCTTGCAGAAATACGTTACAAATCAAGACAGGTTTTATATATAATAATTTTCATTTCTTTAAAATCGGCTGAGTGAAACCGGCAGTGGTTTAACATTTAAGTGTCATCATACATTCTACATATAAACAATCTGTACATTTGATAATCAGCTTTGCACATGACAGAACCAGAACATCTTCCAATTATTTCTTTGAATGAAACACATATAATATTAAATATTTGCATTATGCACTGTCATTAGAAAATGATAAATATTTGTTGCTGAAGTACAACCAGCATAATCTGTTGTTAATAGAAGCTTTCAAGGAGCTAAACTGCAACAGGAATTAGTTTTCCTTGCAGTTTTATAGAATGCTTTTGACTGTGCACTAAGTCCCTCAGACTTTGAAACTAAATCATCCAGCTTCTCTCCTCTTTGAAGGACAGCCTCTAACGTATTGTGCTACAAATTATATAAGAAGTATAATTTTGTAAAAAGAAATACCAATTTTTTAGATAATCACTTTTTTAAGTGTTATATACCCACCAAAATAATTTTTGTGTCATCCAAGTCATTTTGCATTTTAGTAAAAGCATCTGCTTCATTAGGATTTTGGTATTTTGCTAGGTATAAATTAAGCTGTGAGAAATCAGTCATTGCTTCACTTAAAGTTTCCCATGTTGAGATTGGATATTTCATAGTAAATTCATCCATAACTTTTGTAATCAATGTGTGAGCTACTCTCCTGGGATACTCATGATCCGATATAAGTACTGCAGCTAAATTATCCCCTCTTACATATACATGACACATGTAATCTGTTAAAAAGTTTATTTCATGTTTTACTGTATTAATATATTATATTATATTTGTAACTTTTATATTGAATGTGACACTTTCAAAGCAATACTTTTCAATAATATAATTATATATGTGTGGACTATATAACTTTGGCCAACCGAAACAAAACTGCAGAAAGCAAAATGTAAAAAAATGTNATACGGATTTTTGGAAACTAGAATGCTAAATATCCACAAAGATTGAAATTGTTATTTGCAGGTTTCTTCCTCGTAACAGTACAATTTGCATAACATGTACGTATATAAAAGGTTCGGTATATATGTATATATAGTAATTACCAATATTAATTTACACACGTACAAGACATTTTCATTCATCATTAGTCTACAGGTTTACAAAACATATATCTGCAACAATATAATCAACCTTTTCTATTGATATTGCAACAATAAAATGTTTTTGTAGAAATAGTAAATTCTAATCATATTGTGATGTTAAAGAAATATTTTTGCCAGATCAAGTGCTTGGGTTAAGTTGTCATAAAAAGATATGCTATGAGACAATTAAGGAGCAAATAGATCTGTAATATAAAAAGTCCTACTCATTATGGTTATAATATGATACAAATTAAAATGTTGCACAAACACATTTCATTTTAGTGTACAAATAAATCTGAACATTGTTCCTACAATATCTACTTGTTCTTTTCAGTCAAGTGTTTTCAATTAAATCTACTTGTACCACATTTTTTGGAAGTTCGATATCAATTTAACTAAATAGAATTTTGAAATGTATAAATCTACTACTTCATTGTTTTCTTTTTGATCATACATTCTTGCAGAAATACGTTACAAATCAAGACAGGTTTTATATATAATAATTTTCATTTCTTTAAAATCGGCTGAGTGAAACCGGCAGTGGTTTAACATTTAAGTGTCATCATACATTCTACATATAAACAATCTGTACATTTGATAATCAGCTTTGCACATGACAGAACCAGAACATCTTCCAATTATTTCTTTGAATGAAACACATATAATATTAAATATTTGCATTATGCACTGTCATTAGAAAATGATAAATATTTGTTGCTGAAGTACAACCAGCATAATCTGTTGTTAATAGAAGCTTTCAAGGAGCTAAACTGCAACAGGAATTAGTTTTCCTTGCAGTTTTATAGAATGCTTTTGACTGTGCACTAAGTCCCTCAGACTTTGAAACTAAATCATCCAGCTTCTCTCCTCTTTGAAGGACAGCCTCTAACGTATTGTGCTACAAATTATATAAGAAGTATAATTTTGTAAAAAGAAATACCAATTTTTTAGATAATCACTTTTTTAAGTGTTATATACCCACCAAAATAATTTTTGTGTCATCCAAGTCATTTTGCATTTTAGTAAAAGCATCTGCTTCATTAGGATTTTGGTATTTTGCTAGGTATAAATTAAGCTGTGAGAAATCAGTCATTGCTTCACTTAAAGTTTCCCATGTTGAGATTGGATATTTCATAGTAAATTCATCCATAACTTTTGTAATCAATGTGTGAGCTACTCTCCTGGGATACTCATGATCCGATATAAGTACTGCAGCTAAATTATCCCCTCTTACATATACATGACACATGTAATCTGTTAAAAAGTTTATTTCATGTTTTACTGTATTAATATATTATATTATATTTGTAACTTTTATATTGAATGTGACACTTTCAAAGCAATACTTTTCAATAATATAATTATATATGTGTGGACTATATAACTTTGGCCAACCGAAACAAAACTGCAGAAAGCAAAATGTAAAAAAATGTGCAACATAAAGTGTTAATAATAAAGAACTATCACATACAAACAAATATTGAACTTTTACCTCCTTCTTTCACACTTTGCCTGAAGCTGATCTGAGTCCTCTCAACAATGGTTTTACTTACAAAACACATAAATTCTTTGACACTTCCTCTTTGAAAAAATGAGAATGACTCAACATCATAGGCAGCCTTTAAGGCTATAGCTGATGTAGGCTTTTTATACAAAATAGATAATGCGTACAACTTTACCATTTTTTGGCTATAAAATAAGCATATTATTTTTAATGGTCTGTGCACTTGTTAACTGGTATAGAGAATCAGTTGATAAGATATCTTAATATCCGGGTACAGAAGACACTAGTAACAGAAAAGACATAGTTTAAAATACTCAGTTGTCACACAGAGTATTGTTTTATCAAATTTTCAATATTGACAATGATTGATTTGCAAAGATAAATCATATTTTACTAAATAGGTCATAACAAAGTAGAAAAGGATATATTTTTTAAAGCGTCAAATATCTTGTCAAACTTACCTTCGTATAATGTGAAGTTTTTTCTTGCTTGAATTTGTAAATATGGGACACTCGTATTGAGTATATTTATAAATCGAAGATTTTTTTATTTCCAATAATTACTCGATAACTATTCCTAGTTTCATTCGCAGTTACATCTAAATTACTTCAATTTTAACAAACAAGGAGGCTGCCATCATGCTACCAGCGGTTCTCAATTCAATTGTAATAAATACAGTAATACCTTAACTCCTGCAAACCTTTCTGATCGTGGCTCGCTCCGTTAGTGAGAATAGGAGCAAAAATTTCTTTACTCTGATAGGCTAACGATTCAATGCTAAGACAGGATTTACTGCGGATTGGATGTGCAGTAAAATGGTGGGGATGGAAGCGTTTGCTTAGGAAGGAAGAAAATCTTGCAGAAGTTGAGATATCACTCTATGTATGTATGCATGTAGTACAATTTTAAGATTAATGACGTATGTACACAAATCATTACATTACACGATTAACTTTATGATATAAAGAACATAGAATGGAAAGTTTCATTATTAAAGTTAAGTGTTACCATCAATAAAACCACGTACTGGACGTTAAATCATGTATTTAATTATAAAAGAAACATACACAGAACATGACACAAAAATGACAAAAAACATTTAATACAACAAACAAAGTAAATAACAATAGAAAATAATTATTATAATAATTTTAATTTTGAAGACGTCTGTCAATTATATTGTTCGTTCATAATTTGTATATATTCAAATTATGATCATATGTGATCATATTTTAATAAATCTTCTAAAGATCATATTTAATAAATTAAATAAAAAAAATCATATGTGAAGATATTTTAATAAACGTTTTATTCATATTTAAGTCGTGTACAAATAATTATTTAAAAATTTATTATTAGTGAACAAATTTTCTACATTGAAGATTGTGAATAATTTTTCTGACCGATATTGCAGATTTTAAACTCATGATAAATAAAGATGGTCGAGTGTCTATAGTGACAATACAGTCATTGCTGAAAGCGAAGTTACTCGAATTGGCTGAAATTAGTGGAAATAAACTATTGTTTCGAAACAAGAAACTGAAGACGGTATCTGTTGGTAGAAACAGTTCTGTGTCATTTCCCTCTTCGTTTTCTTTTTTGCTTTAGAAATAAAGTCTTGAAAAGGAACGACACGATGTGATGATTCAATGAAGAAACCCTCAGCCAAAATTGTGATGGTCTGTTGCAAGGATCGAGTCGACAAAATTCTAATTACGCGTTTCAATGTATTTGGTCAATATGCTGCGAATGCGTAGGTAAGGTTATCTATCATTCGAACCTTCCGAGAAATTTATAAACAATTTACCGCTTGGCTGAGTCTTACAATACCCTTAGCAGCTTCACTTTTTTTCTTCCATTTTTTTTTTGCGATACTGATTGCCTTTATTTTTCGTGATGTTGAGTGAACATAATGAGGAGTAAAATGCCACCGTTTCGAAGGAAAAAGTCTGGAAAATCTTTCCCCGTTAAAGTCTGTACCTTAGATGCTGAGCTGGAATTCAATTTAGAGGTTAGTTGATTCTATCCCTTCTCGGGTTACACTACTTCTGTATATTATGTAAAGATTTGCTATGGTACATTCATTCTGTAGTGGAGATCAACAGGAAGAGATCTCTTCGATTTAGTCTGCCGTACAATAGGATTGAGGGAAACATGGTACTTTGGGCTTCAATACGAAGATGCTAAAGGATTCATATCTTGGTTGAAACTAGACAAAAAAGGTAAATTGTTAAACTTATTGGTTTACTCTGTTTATGACATTCAACAATGACAGCAACTAATTTTAAATATATTATAGTTCAAGATCAATGCATCTCTCAACAACCCACAATACCATTTATGTTCTTGGCAAAATTTTATCCAGAAGATGTTGCAGAAGAACTAGTTCAAGAAGTGACCCAACATTTATTTTTTCTTCAAGTAAAACAAGCCATTCTTTCTATGGATATTTATTGTCCACCTGAAGCATCTGTTTTGTTAGCTTCTTATGCAGTGCAAGCAAAGGTAATTGAAGTGCATTATTCACATAATATATTTGAAAAATTTGGATTCGAGAATATATTACCTTATTTGTGCATTAGTTCATTTGCACCAAAAAATAACTTTTCTCTAGATTATATCATTGTTTAACTATTAAGTTTAATAATTTCTTATTTGATATTTGATTAAAGTTTTATATAGATCTTCCAAATACTTTTTAATGAAAGCCTAGTTCATGTTTTTATGTAATTATTAAATTTTTATGGTTGTTATGTATTTTTTTAGTATGGTGACTACGATGAAGTTTCTTATCGCCCTGGTATGCTTGCCAGTGAAGACTTATTGCCACAGAGGGTTATAGATCAGTATCAGATGACTCCAGAAATGTGGGAAGACAGAATAAAAATATGGTATGCAGACCATCGAGGGATGTCAAGAGATGAAGCTGAAATGGAGTATCTTAAGATTGCTCAAGATCTCGACATGTATGGTGTTAATTATTTTCCTATTAGTGTAAGTATCTTCAGCAAGTGAAATTAAATTGTTTAAACAAGAATATTCCATCTAATAACATAATTAAAATTCTAGAACAAGAAAGAGACTGATCTTTGGCTGGGAGTCACAGCCCTGGGATTAAATATCTATGAAAAGGAGAACAAGTTGGCCCCAAAAACTACATTCACGTGGTCGGAGATAAGACATATTAGCTTTGATGATAAGAAGTTCGTAATTAAGCCGGTGGAGAAGACGTCACCGAACTTCGTGTTCTTCTCGCAGAAAGTTCGCATGAATAAACTGGTAAAAAAACAGTCAGTTGTTGGCAGCTGGGTGAAGGGTTTGATAGCTTTAGGGTTGGACGAACATAGCAATGACAAAGCTGCTCACATATTATTTGTTAAGATCCTGGACCTGTGTATCGGCAATCACGATCTATTTATGAGGAGACGCAAGCCAGACTCGATGGAGGTGCAGCAGATGAAGGCGCAGGCCAAAGAAGAAAAGTCAAGGTAAGTTTCCAAATATTCATCTATCATAATACAGTGTTATTTTATTATGTTATCACATTGATTCCTTTAATATAAAATGTTATTATACCCATTAAATATATTTATAGCTTAAACTAAATGGTTTTGTTAGCTTTCTGACTAATCTGCATGTTATACAGTAAGCCATTAGCTAATATCTGCAAAAGTAATGAAGTATTTATGTAAAATGTTTAAGAAAGAAAATATGGGAAAATAATCGTGTTTATACAAAGCTTTTTATGTGTCCAATCTGGAAACGGTATCTGTTATCCATTGTAATATATTGTTTCTTTGTTTTTATATATATATATATACTTCATTTATAACAACTGTATTTTCTTTTCTTTTCTTTTCTTCTTATTTAACATTTTGTAGGATCTGAAATCTAAGAATAATTAAATAAATATACATATATTCAGGTTAGTGCCTACTTATTTATATAAATTATAAGATGACTTTTAAACAAAAAAATTTTTGTACACGTACTTGCGTGGTAGATAATATTTGGTACTATCAACTCTCTATAATAATGTTTATTTTGATAGGAGGCAAATTGAAAGAAATAAGCTGGCTCGAGAGAAACAACTTAGAGAAGCAGCGGAAAGGGAAAAAGCAGCTATGGAACAACGACTATTACAATATCAAGAAGAAATTCGGCTAGCAAACGAAGCACTTGTAAGATAACTATAATGCCCATATTATATCAATTACATGTAAAATCAATTAATATAAAAAGTAATTTAAACGGAATCTACTATAGAGAAGATCCGAGGAGACTGCAGACTTGTTGGCTGAGAAAAGTCGTGTTGCTGAAGAAGAAGCAATGTTGCTAAGTCAGAAAGCTTCAGAAGCAGAACAAGAGATCACGCGTATACGATTGAACAACATGAAGACAGAAGAGGAGAAAGTTCATCTAGAGAGGAAGACTAGAGAAGCTGAATTACTAACTGAAAGATTAGTACAAGAATCGGAGAGAAGAGCCGCGGAAGCTGAGAAACTAAAGGATGAATTGTTACGTGCACGAATCGCAGAAAAAGAAGCGAAAGAAAAGTTACTGGAATTCCTTAGTAGGAATGCTTACACCGCCACTATAGCAGTGAGTAGACAAGTTTAAGACTCCATTAAAGCATTATACATTATGTATAATTGGATAAGCATAAGCAATCAGCCTCGGTAAAACTTCAGAACCATTGAAGACAGAAAAAATGGTTTATCAAGAGTAACATTGTGTTACTTAACCATTATTTGTGAAAATTTCAGTACTAGTTATTAGTAACATTGTGAAAAATTATAAAACCAATTTAAGTACTAATTTTATATTAAAAGGCATTGCTTCGTAAATGTATACGTATTACAAATGACGTTGAAGCTAATTACTCATACTCATTCTACTACATTTTTTATAATTTATAAACCCTCCTTTATGTATACTATGTATTTATGTATACTTTGTGTTTTATAGTCTGTGCCAAATCTATTTTCATCGACGCAAGTACTTCCGTCAGATTTGCAAGCAGATCTTCAAACATTACAACTGGATACAGAACCGTTGCCAGCTGATTTGACATCATACGACCTAATCGCCGACGGTGACGTCGACCAATTATCCTTAGAAATTGAGAAAGAGAGAGTAGACTATTGGGAGAAGAGTAAACACTTGCAAGAACAGTTAAGAGAATTACGCACAGAGATTGAGGTGATGAAAGTCGGGGAGAAACAGTGCGAATTAGATCAATTGCACGAGGAACAGGTGCGACTCGGTGAAAACAAATATAGTACGTTGAAAAAAGTGAAGTCTGGATCAACTAAAGCTAGAGTCGCATTTTTTGAAGAATTGTAGTTTATCTGTATTTTAAAACGAATTGACGCTTGTGTGGACGCAACAAGAAATGAAGTAACATACGATCGAGTATGGAAGCTATGAGACGTAGAAATCATGTAAACACGTGCGTATGTATACGTTGTAGAATACTGGAACGTACGTTTCACCTATACATAATTATCTGTATATTTTGCTTCATCGTATGCATGGTAACAGCTCGATTTACTTACTAATTTTAAACGAAGTTATTATTAGGCCATACTTAAGTTTTTTTATTGAATGGTAATCTCAGCAAAACGATCCCTTTCATTCAAGCTTGCAGTTTCACTGTACCATGTGCATTTGCATATTAACTGCAGAGCTAACTTTGAATTTCAAACAACTTTCTAGAGTACATGGTAGATTTTTACAAACGAAAAAGTACATATGCAGAAATCAAAATCATAACTAGACTCTCTAGGTATTACGAATATATAGACCTAAGTAATTCTTGAAAGCGTCAATATCCATTTTTTTTTCATACAGATCTGTTAAAAACTGTGCAAACCGTGTAGATAAAGTTAAGTCAATAGAGTAAAGCGAAAACACACACGTGCGTAATAGAGAATTTTATTTTTCTGAAACGTAAATATTATTGGTGAAACTCTAATGTTTGATATCGCATGTATTTCTTAATGCTTCTATATTTTTATATAATTTCTTGGTTACACTGGATTAGCAATATTATAAAGCATGCATAGATACTGTTGCTGTCGAAAAGTGTTAATACTCTTAGACATGAAATTATTAAATACATCTCCATGTGTCTTTTGCAATGCATGATTGTAAGAGGGTCCATGGAAAAACGTATTGAAGCAGCAGTCTAGTCAAACAACTTATGAAAATGAACTCTGGCTGTTAACCAGAATCTCGACTAGAAATGGCAATAAATATTTCGATTTGATTTTTTGTCGCTACACAAGTTTTATTGATTTTTAATAGAATTCGTTCGTTTCTGTATTTATATAGATTCTATAAAATGAATATATTGCATCAAAAAATGTTAAAATTGACAAAGAATTTTTTGTTTCTTCTTTTGTAGTATGGTATACTGACCGGTGATAAAATCAAGTTTGAAAATGGTAAAGGCAATACATGCTTGTACATCAGTTATTTTTACAAAAATATATTTTTAAAAAGACTGTCAGCGTTTATGTAGCTTTTACATAAAAATTAAATAGGTTCTGCCCAAATTTGTATTGTTAACGTCTGTAGGAAAGAATTTAAAACTTAAAATTTCGATCAAAATACATAAACATGCATATGTATTGACATTTTGTTAAGAAATCTGTGTATAAATGTAAAGCGAAATATTGTTAACGATTTCTCCGCCATGAAACAACATGCTACGGTATAATTAGTTTGATTAGACTAGAGCAATAGAACTTTTGTGAATTAATTGAAAAAGAATGTTCCTATCAATATGGTAGAGAACTTAGTGTTCAAGTATTTTACTATAAGAGTTTCCATATATTTTTATAAAAGCAATATAATGAATTCGTGAATTTTAAACATTCGATGCGAGAATAAGTAAGTAAATAATAATTTTTTGTAGAAATAGAATCTACGTTCCTAGATATTTTTATAATTACAATTCAATGAAAAATTATTACAACAAAAAATATTTTTCATAAAAAAAATACATACA